AGGTATATAGTGATATTGAGAGTTTTAGCCAAATGTAAGACTTCTCCAATATGATGAAAGAAGCTGTAGCTTGATCAAGGTCTACCTGAAAACAGAGCTCATGCTAAATCACACTGTTTTTTTTTTAATTACACTGTTTTGAATTGAAGCTCAGAAAATGAAAATCATTACATTGCAATTAGAAATGTGAAAATAAGAATAGTAAGAAAGCCATCATTTTCCTCTGTTTTAAGTATTGGATGTCACATATAAATATATATAATTAACAGATGGACCAATGTATGTTACTCATCAAGCATTACTGATTATATCATGCAAATATTACTTCAATGCATCACATTTTCTTAAATTGTACACCTGTACACTATATACACCTTACCTTTGAAGTATAAAATATGTCGTCTCTTTTAACTGTGCCATCTGCAATCTTGCTCCGAATAGCAAGTCCCACTTCCTCCTCATTTTGGTACAAATAAGCACTGTCAATATGGCGGAATCCAGCATCTATAGCTAATTTAGTGGCCTCTGTAGCCATACTCTTGGGCACCTAGAGAGGTATGCGATGGTAGTGTTTAGAGAGTCACATGAATCTAAATAAGCAAAGACTTCACACACAAGTAAAATCTTTTTTCCTCATGTTTTTAATTAGTTATGTACTTGTGATAAACACAAGTTGACTGGTCCTTCTTCATAACAAATATAGAATGTTGCAAGGACCCCTCTAGTCCTTGACAGTTATTGGTTGATCACAAATAGAAGATCTCCAGCGATATCCTCATGTAGTAGAATGACTTATTGGAAGGATTCACAGGATTGAACACATATGTATATCAATGGCTAATATTCATGCAATGAAGACATAAAATTAATGTAATAAAAGGAGCATAAGATAAAGTATGGAAAAAATATCTTACCAAGTAAATTAAAAACAATACACTAAATTTTGCCAACATCTAGTTTAGAAGACATAAATATTTTGTTTGCAAGGAAAGTTCTTTGGAAACATTTTCTGATTCACTGATATCTTGGTTACACTTACTCCTCTGCTAGAATAATCTAATATTCCAGCCTAATAAATCATAGCATGGACTCATATAAGCTACTCTTTGTGCAAGCAGCCCAAGGACAAGCATTGTCCCTATCTGCTGGAATAGTGAAATATCAAAGTTTGCAGAAGTCATGAAAGGGCCTCTTTGTAAGTGAGCCATTCAATGGATAGCAGAGTGTTTTGGTAAATTTTGAAGGAGCCAGTATGTATGCATAGCATAAGTAAATATGACAGTAAAGTTCTGTACTCAAAAGGTGCATATTCATGCATAAGGATTTTCCTACTTTATGCATTGCATTGGTTCTTGTAAATGTAAACTTTAAAACTAAGGCAACTGTTTTAGGGAAGATATAATTAGAGAAAACTTTAAAATCACAAACTTTTCTGACATGTCCTTGAGACTTCTTATGTCAGTGACCAAATTAGGAAATCTCTTATTTCATTGTTACTAAGATAATGAATTAAAGGAAATTATTTTTCCTAATGAAATTAAAATAAATATAAGCCTGGATCTTTTGGCTTTCTTTTGACATCAGCTTCCAACTGATTTTCTTAAGCACAAGAGTACTCAAATTTTTACCATGGGCAATTAATATAAGAGAAAATGCTCAAAATCATGAAATCATGCAGTTTTCATAACTGAAAAGTTTTATTTTTTCTACTTAGCTGGAAAGTCATATGAAATATAAAGAAAATGTATAGGCAAACAGTTGTAATTGGAAGGCCAATGCCATATATATTAGGCAACCAGGCCAACATAATTGGTAGGTAACAGCATAATTAGACCTAGATGTAAAGCAGTATCTAGCCAAATTCCCTTTTCTGTTTAGGAAAGATCTCTAGCCAGCAGTAACAGAGAACCATCTGAACCTCCTGTCATCATGCAGGAATATATTACTGGTTACCCAAATCAGCTTCCACTCATCCTATGTCTACTTTCCTTGAGTCTTCAATGCCAAAGCCACTGTTGTTACCTCAATTGGAGCATAGGTGCCAAATCCCAGTATAGGCATGAGGTGACCATCATTCAACTCCACACACTGCTGTTTGGAATTCATTGCTGCTGCACCTCTGACAAAACAGATTCTGTTTCTTGTTTGACTTCCACTGGACACTAAAAATAAATCATAGTTCCACCCACATGACTTTTCAGTAGCCAATGGGTAAGCAGGAGGAATGAGCAGTGAAAGCAGTATTCCAGTTCATGTATTTTACATAAAAGAGAATTTCTAAGTAAGTTATTACATGGTAACATAGAAGATATTTTTTTAAATAAATTTCCTCTTCCAAATCATACATTATTTTACATTATTACAATTGAGTGAATATTTTTTGATAAATTTGGTTGAAATATAGATGCAAATTTCTTGTTTTCAGTTTTAAAATCACAAAGAAATTCCTCCTTGAGCAAATATAATTTGAAGCAATGAACTATTGTAATCTGTTTACTATCCATCTTGCCTCACCTCACATTTTCTAAGACAGCCTGGAGAAAAACAAATCCTAAAGTTATCAACCAGCTGTATGATCCTCATTTCTATGTGAATGCAGTGAAAGCACCCTAATCAATTTCAGCAAATTCAGTTTTTGCTATTTTTATTCTTTATTTCAGACTCATATATACATTACATTTCTCTGCTAAGACTTTCAGAAAAAAAATACATAGCAGAAAATCCTATTTTTACATTTATTTATTTATTTTATTAATTTTATTGAGAAAAAATTGCAATGTGACAGCTTTAAAACAGGTTGGTAGGAGAGCTACAACAACGAATACATTGCCTATTGTTGTCTGTAGTAATCATTCATAGCACAAGATATAGACATGATATCCTGTCCAAACACTATTAGCACAGATCTTACTTCTTATTGAATTCAGAGAAAGTAGCTATATATCTATATATGTAGCTAATATATAGTAGTTATATAAGTATAATAATATTTAATATATTTAAGGAGTTTATATTAATCCTAAAATAACTCCTAATATATTTAAGGAGTTTATATTTAAGGAGTTTATATTAATCCTAAAATAACTCGTACTCTTGGCGATCCTTCAGTTTTCAACCTCCCAGATGCTGGGATTGCAGGTGCATGCCACCACGCCCAGTCGCAATCAGTTTCAATTTGTCCACGGGACAGGGTCAGCAGAGTACGTGGTGTGGGGGATTGAATTCCGGTCACTGCACTCTCCCTAAGCCGGTGTTTTACTCTACTGAGCTATCTGGCCAGACCTAAATGTTTTTAAATTAACTCTACGAAGTATTGCTATGTTTAAAATAATCACTTGCATTCATTGTAGTTTTTTTAAAGCAGTTTTATAATATCCATGAGCAAACAACTCTATTAACTCTGAAAACTGAAAATGCTATCTTTATATAGTGTGCATAAACTTTGGTTAATATATATTTATTATATATAGCTCTTTAGTATTATTATTTTATTTACTTGGTACATGGTTTCACTACACAGCTCAGACTCATAGCTATCCTCCTTGTGGTTCCAGAGTCCCTCCACTTGCCTAAGCAGGAGGTTAGTCTGCTGAGCTATTTCACTGGCCCTCCTTTATTATTCTTAACTTACTGTATCTAGAACTTTTCCACCCTGGTTATTCTTGGCAAATATTTTCCAAGCAATGTGTTGTGTCATGGAGAAAAACAAAAGCCTTTTGGACTCCCTTTGGTAACTATTCACTGTTCTAGATGCATATTATTTTATATTATTTGTTAGAGTTTTTGTCTATTTTTTAAAAAATAATTAATTGTACAATTTAGTTGTATAATGATGAGATTCATCATGTGGAATTTGAACCGTGGCATATCTTGATTCTTTTTCTCCCATTTCCCTCCTTTCCCTTCAATTTCTTTTGTACTCCTTACTTAAAAAGCTTTGTGTCCAGGGTTTTTTTTTTTTTTTCTATTTTCTGCCTTTCCTTTCTCCCTACTCCCTACTTAATTCTCATTCTCATTTGATTATTTTCTTCCTATTTACTATAAATATTGGAACTGACTTACACTTTGTTTACATTAGAAAAATCATACAATAATGGAACATGTGTGTATTATTTATTTCATTTATGAGTATGATCACAAGGTAATATATTTACTTAGAAATGTCTAGGGTATATCCTTCTTTGTGGCTGAGCAGTACTCCCTTGTGTAAAAGAAAAACAGTCTTTATCCATTCATTTGATGAGATTTGTGCAGTTTGAAATATTTATCCTTTACATACTTCACTGTTGTAACATGAGTGTGCATATAGACTTGCAGGACTAATTCTTCTTAAGTCTTTTAACACTTTGGGGAAGATATCAAGAAAGGAAATAGCTGGAGTCAAACAGGGCCTCTGCCTTAGATTTTCGAGGGATTTTGATATTAATTTTCATAGTGGTTGCAGCAATCCATATTTTCACCAACCGTGGAGAAAAATTTGTTTTCCATACACTCCAACCAGCATTAATTAATGGTTTATTTCTTGGTAATTGTATTTTTTTTTTTGGAGTACGATGGAACTTCAGCATTGTTTTAGTTTGATTGACAAATAATGTCAAACATGTGTTTCACATGTTTATTTAGATCTCTCCTATCTTCCAGCAGATTTAAGGTTTCTGTTTTAATATTTAAATGTTTCATTCACTTTCATTTTGGTACAGTGCATGGTGAAAGATATGGGTATGGCTTATTCTCTGGCATGTGGAAAGGCAGGTTTTCCA